CTGAGAGAGGGGACCGAACATAATAGGGGTCATCACCTCCACTTGCCCAAAGGAAGACATTTGTCTCACAGACTCAGGAGAGCTTTGACCACCTGCTGCAGCCTCACTGCATGCTCAGTGCCTTTTTTTTTTTTTTTTTTTTTTTTTGCCGTACGCGGGCCTCTCACTGCCGTGGCCTCTCCCGTTGCGGAGCACAGGCTCCGGACGCACAGGCTCAGCGGCCACGGCTCACGGGCCCAGCCGCTCCGCGGCACGTGGGATCCTCCCGGACCGGGGCACGAACCCACGTCCCCTGCATCGGCAGGCGGACTCTCAACCACTGCGCCACCAGGGAAGCCCACTCAGTGCCTTTTTTAAAAAATGTACATGCCTTTCCTTGCCGGTTAAAGGCATAAGACAATAAATTTTGAAAATAGGTAGATGTCTGTGAGTATGTATTGAATATATTTTTAGTAGGACAGCTGAGGGATTGACGTGTTGCACTTTCTGCTTTTCACCATTGTGGGTATCTTTCCGGCTCCCCGTGTTCTGAGCCCCGCTCCCCCCATAGCCCACCTCTCTTCTCTCTCTTTCTCTCTCTCCCCTCTCTCTCGGCTGGGTACCCATGACTCTTTCCAGTTGGTGGGCTTGTAGGTCATCTGTTCGTTCGTGCACACACAGAATGCTGATATGAACAGCTTTGTACACATATATTTATCTTAGGAGCATTTTTACGAGTACTTTTCTTGTATAAATTCATAATCCTGGAATTGCCAGGTCAAAAGGTACATGCATTTTCTTTTGACAGATATTGCTAAATCGTCCTCCTAAAAGATCACGCAGTTCACATGCCCCCTAGTAGACTCTGCCTGTTCGCATGAGCGCTGTACGTCATCCAGTCTTAAGTGTTCAGGCCCATTCATTGTGTCAGTTGGCATTTCTTTAATTGTGAGTGAAATTGAACCTTTCAGCTGGTTGATTGGCCATTTGTGTTGTTCTGTATTCCTGTGGAGTGTGTGTTTGTCTTCCTTATTGAATTATACGGAGTCCTGTAAATCAAGGAGATCAATATTTTGTCTATAGTGTGATTCCAATATTTTTCTTTTGATTTCTTTTTCCATAAAACGAATTAATCTTGAATTTTTTTCTTACTGTGGTAAAACATGCATATCGTGAAGTTTGCCTTTTTAACCATTTTTAAGTGCACAGTTCAGAGGCATTTATCAGTAATACCTTCACAGTATTATGTAACCATCACCATTATTTCCCATCTTTTTCCTCCCCCAAAACAGAAACCCTGTAGCCGTTTATTGATAATTCCCCTGGTAACCTCTATTCTACTTCCCATGTCTATAGATTAGCCTGTTCTATATGCCTCATGTAAGTGGAATCATGCAGTATTTGTCCACTTGTGTCTGGTTTATTTCACTTAGCATAACGTTTGCAAGGTCCATGCATGTTATAGCACGTGCCAATGCTTCATTCCTTTTCACAGCTGAGTAGTATTCCGTTGTAGGGATAAACCACACATTGTTTATTGATTCATCTGCTGATGGACTCTCGGGTTGTTTCCACTTTTTTGCTGTTGTGAATAATGCTGCTATGAACGTTGGCATACAAATATCTGTTTGAATCCTTGTTTTCAGTTCTTTTTGGTGCATACCTAGGAGTAAAATTTCTGGCTTACATGGTAATTCTATGTTGAACTCTTAGAGTAGCGGTCAAACCTTTTACCATAGCAGCTGCCCCATCTTTCATTCCCACCATTAGTGCCCACAGGTTCCACGTCCTTCTCCATATTATTTGCCAACACTTGTCTTCCTTTTTAAAATTCTTCTTCTTCTTATTTTATCCCCATCAGAGTGTGTGAAGTGGTACCTCACTGCGGTTTTGATTTCCATTTCCCTAATGACTCCGTGCTGAGTACCTTTTCATGGGCTTTTCGCGTGTCTTCTTTGGAGAAAGGTCCATTTAAGTCTTTGCCCGTTTGTAACTGGGCTGTTGTTGTTTTAGTTGTTGTGGCTGAGTTGTAGGGGTTTTATATATATTATGAATATGAATCCCTTATCAGATATTTAATTTGCAAATGTGGTTCCCATTCTGTGGTTTGCTTTTTCACTCTGTTGATAATAGTGTTCTTTTATGCAAGAAATTTAAAATTTTTTATTAAGTCCAATTTATCTGTTTTTTTTCTTTTATTGCCAGTGTTTTGGTGTCATATCTAAGAGACCATTTTCAAATCCAGCATCATGGCTTTTACCCCCTACGTTTTTGTCTGAGATTTGCATAGTTTTAGCTCTTAAGTTTAGCTCTTTCAGCCATTTTGAGTGAATTTTGGTACTTGGGCTTTTTCAGAGACGGTTGCTGTCAAATTTTTTTTTTTCATGCGAATGGACCATACTTTCTTTCTTATTTCTTTGTATGCTTTGTAGTTTTGATCTAGATCTGGACTTTCTGAGTGTGACGATGTGACAACACTGGAAATGTGATTGTCCTACTCCTCAAGGATTTCTGATTCCTGCTTGTTGAGGGTTGGAGCCGCCCATTTGTGACTTTGCCAAACTAGTTTGTTAAAATATTTTTTCGGCTGCACTGGGTCTTAGTTGCGGCATGCGGGCTCTAGTTCCCTGATCAGGGATCAAATCCGGACCCCCTGCATTGGGAGTGCAGAGTCTCAGCCACTGGACCACCAGGGAAGTCCCTCCAAACTAGTTTTTATGTGTGTATTCCTTGTCACTTTCAGTCCCCAAACTGAAGTTTCTGTTCCGTTATCTCTGAAGTCAGCTGAAGGACAGCAGCCTCTCCCCCCAGCCAGCACTGCCCTTGATGTTGAAGGTTCCAGAGTTCTCAAATACTTGACTCCAGTCACTTTTCCAGTTCAGCAGCTGTTTTGGTGGAGGGACGGACCCGAGAGTCCCCTATTCCACCGTTTTTCCTGACATTCCTTTGGTCTTGTATTTTTAAAGGCAGTAAATTTGTGTTTTCCTTTATGACTTCTGAATTTTGAATCTTGATCAGGAAACTTCACTCGTGATAGAATTCTTCAAAATGAACAAAAATACACTAGGAAATAACCAACATCTTTGTAATTGTGTGACCTCATGTAAAAACAATATTTTTTCAGTTTTCCTGGCTTGCCTTTGGTCTTCCCGAGCGTGTCCTGTGCGGGGTGTGGGGAAGGGCTGCCTCGTCTACACCTTAGTAAATGTCTTGATGATAATGTCTCTGCGTATCTGCCTGAAGGACAAGCAAATACAACCCACTCCTTCTTCAAAAGCCAGCCAGAGCCAGTGGGGGCCAGGAGGGGCATCGTAAGGGAGAGTCGCAGCTCCTACGTGGAGGGGTGTCGGTGGACTGGAGGCTGAGACGGGAGAGTGGGAGCGAGGGTAGATCCAGGTGGAATGTGCTGAGATGAGGGGCTTGTGGGACACGGAGGTGGAGAGCCAGGCAGGAGCCGGGGAGGTAAGTGTGCCTTCTGGGGTCACAGCAGAGAGGGGATTGACTGTCGGCACCACGTATGGGCGCGTGGGGAGAGAGCATAGGAGTGAAGAAGAAAGCCCGTCCCCTGCCCGTCAGCTCGGTCACCGCAAAGGTCTCTCTCTAGACCACTGGTTCTCATCAGAGCAGGGGGTGGGGTGAGGCTCTGTCCCTTGGGGGACATTTGGCAACTACTGGAGACATCTGTGGTTGTCAGTACTGGGAGGGGTGCCGGGCGTCTGGGGGTCAGAGACCAGGGATGCTGCCCAATACCCTACGGTGCATGGGACGCCCCATCATCCAGCCCCACGTGTCACTGGAGCCAAGGTGGGGAGAGCCCCACTGGAGAGCCCTGAAAGGCCCACCTGGGCTTGGGCTCTCGCCGAGGGAGCGCTCACTGGTCCCACAATGCTGTACTGGGCAGGACCCGCTGTGGACGGGCCGTCGGTGGGAAGAGGCCACCAGAACCCAACCCTCTCAGCTCGCTGCAGGCCCATGCTCTGCACCGAAAGCGAACCGGAGAGTAGATAGGGGTTGGAGCCGGAGCAGGGGGGCATTGCTGGGATTGCAAACCACGTGTATGGAGAATTGTCAGGTTTTATAGAAAGAAAAGGTGTGGAGGGCTTTGCAGTCGTGGAAATTCATATTTTTTCCCATAAGCTTCACATTCATTATGAGCTCATTACAGAGCGTCCTCAGGAAGGACGTGGGTTCAAGCAGTCCTGGGGGACGGGGGCAGCGGGTGAGGACATGGGTCACGCACTGAAGAGCCCAGAACCTTGCCCCTGTGCCCACACAGGACGTGGTTATGAGAAAGTGGTTTCTTGGGGATGACAGACACAGAATAAAAAGCAGGCAAGGAGGCAGTTGTGATGCCAGGGAGTGTTTGGACATCATTCAACCTGTCAGCACCGAAACGATGCTCTAGAACCATCTTTATACTCATTTTTCCTCTTTCCTTTTGGAGACAGATGTGAAACACCGAAGCACCTTTTTACTTTTTCATTCCGAAAGCTCATCAAACATTTATAGGGCCAGCCTCTTCAGGATGTAAGTAGGGGACCCGACTTCAAAATCAATTTACCTTTTAGAAAGCAGACTTGTAGACAGCAGTGGCGGGCACACCGTATGCAGGAGAAATCGGGTTGTTCACTGCAGGAGACAAAGCAGGGAGTCCGGGCCTGTGGTTCAAGCACAAGGACGTGAAGGCAGCGTGGCTAGCAGAGCTGGTCCAGGGCCTAAGTCCTGTGAGGGGTGAGGCCAGGTGGACGCCCCTTCCTCCTCCAGCCCTTCTGGAAGGTCCAGCACCCTCTACACAGCCAGCAGCTAGAGATGACTTCTCTGCACCAAAGCACATCAGATTTCTCTTCTGCTGGAATATGAAAGGGGTGCACCCTAAGAGCATGGTTACAGGATTTGAGGTCCATCTTTAAGGGAAGTCTGTTTTCTTAATTTCAAGATGAGTCTGCTTGAAAGTGGTGCTTCCCGACGGTTTGTCAAAGCCACAGGCTCCGTGTTAACAGGTGAACTTGGCTTTCTTTCAGCCAAGCCCGGCGATGGATCAAGTTCCGAAGATGGCAGGGAAGACCCCCACGTGAAAACCAAGAGGAATCGGTAGGTGGCCACGTCCTTTCCTGCGTGTCTTTCTTCGAGGGATGATTAGGTGGTGGAGAAAGAGAAGGGATCACTTTGACTCTGTTGACTGAGCCAAGAACGGATCCAACCCCTAAACAGAGGGCGGGAGGTCCCAGGTCTGTCTTAGCAGAACCTGCCCTGGGTGCCCCGGGTCTACACTGTATGTCGTCTCCCCTCCCCTGGCCTCCCCGGGGCCACGTTCACCCCTAGCCTTGCTTTTGGGGCCCTGAGGAGTGGACAGAGCACGGAGGTGAAGGTGGCGCTGGGTGAGTGATGGGTTGTGCGTCTGTCAGCCCCGGGTTGGAGGTCCAGCTCCGTGTCTTGCTTGCTTAGTGACTTTGGGCAAAGTAATTTCACCCCCACATCAGACTTCTCGTCTGCAAAGTGGGTGATGCCCTAGTGCGATGTTGCCCGTGTGACTTCCTGTGGCACCAGGAGAATAAGTTCTCCATCCACGTTTGCTTGTTACCGTTTGGTTGTGGCCACAGCACAGGAGGGAGGGAACTCTGCCCCTTCCTTTCAAGCTGGGGGCGGGGAATGGTTGTTCCAGCTTTGGCCCTCCTGGAAGGCCTGGTCTGTGGTCCCTTTCCTACTGAGTTCTACGTAAAGGGGTAAAATTCGGGGTCTGTGTGTCCAAGTTCCCAGAGGGGGAGGTGGGAGGCACAAGGCAGGGAAGGATGAAAGCAAATCTAAAAAAGGACCTACGAGGCCACTTCCTGAGCCAACGTGGTTCCGACGTCCCGGCGGGAATGGCCCTCATCCCAGCCTAGCAGTGCATTCAGTCCTGTACCGGGTGCCCATTTATCAGCCCCCATCATGGGACGCCCCAGGCCTGTGGCAGGAATCCCTGAGCAGCTGTCAGGATGTTTGCACTGTGTGTATTTTCTCTTTAAAAAAATGTGCCTTAGAAGAAGTACTTTTGCAATAACAAATGTTCGCAGTGATGGAGGAAAACGCAGTCTTGACTCAGAACCTGTGCCCGTTCTCACCTCTTCCACCCTTACCCTGTGGCTTCCTGGTGAAAGATGGTGGGAGAGGAAGGGAGAGAGGAAGTGGAGGCAGGGCTGGCAGCCAGGGGTCAGGGTGCCTGTGGAGACACGAGCCTACAGAATTAGTCCTAAGTGGGTACATTATTCCTTTCATTTCAACACCTTTGGCCTTTTCCCACTGTGCACCCCTCACAAAACTATTTCGCTGACCAGGGCCCAGGTATATTGTCCTTTTAACTGGTACCAGGCAGACACCACAGAACTTTCTGGAAACAATGCAGGGAAGGGTAAGCAGTGTCCTTCCCAAGACAGGAAGGCAGTCTGGGTGGGGGGTGGGGTCTCCTTCCGCGGGTGAAGGAGACCAGGGGCAGCAGTTCGGCGGGACCGGGGGCTCCCTGCGGTGCTGGAGCAAAGCACCTCCCACCCAATCGCCCAGGCCTCTGTTTTTCTGCTCCCCCATATCCTCTGCTTAGACAGTCACTTTTGGGGTCAAAGGACACTTGCGTGGGCTGCAGAGGATGGACACCAAGTGTCTTCATTGGGGACCAAGGGCTCCAGGAAAGGAAATCAAGCGTCATCTCTTTATTGTTATGTTCACACCCTGGTTGTCAGCTAAGCCAGTCTCTGTGATCTTTGGATAGATGTATATAATTTTAAAAACAAGATGAGCTTCCTGAGGCACAAGAGAAGCAGCACTCTAGCCATTACCGGATGCGTTTTGAACTCGTGCAGGAGGGAAGTCTCGGCTAGCTCCAAAGGAGTGGGGATGTCTGCCTGTATCACCCAGTTTTATCCATTTTCCCGTGCGACTGGCCCCAAACTCTGAACACTTGGCATTGAAATAATGTCAAAGCATTAGTCTCGGTTTTCATCATCTGAAAGACTTCTTCCGTGACTCAGCACTGACTTTGAAACCAACACGGGTGTTTGCATGAAGCTTTTGGCCATGATATGATTCCAAGCCCCCTCGGCCCTCAGGTGCCCAGGCACCTGGCTCCCGCCATGGTTCAGGCCTCGGTCCCTGGGTCACTTTGTTCTGCCACTGAGATCCAGGAGGAAAAGGTTTCAGCGGAAGTTGGGGGATCTGCACTCAGGGTCTGGAATGTTCCCTGAGTCCTGGTCATTCACTTCTGAGCCGCTTTGCAAACTGCGCCCACTCTAGGGGAAGCTTCACCCTCGTGTGGCTTTTTCCAAAGCTTCCTCCCATGCATGGACACCAGCATCGTCTTGGCATTTTTGTCCTTTTGGGGAAGGTTGTTGTCAGTAAGCCCAAGGACTCCTCAAGCTTCTAGCTGCTTCTGGACACTTGTATTTAGTAGATGCTGTATAACTAGTAAGAGACCAGGCTCCAGAGAACCTGCCAAAATCAACCCATTTTGACCTTCCCTTTCGCATACATAGTGTAATTTTTCACATCAAAAAGCACTTAAATGCTTCTGCAAATCATGACTCTTCAGCGGCCATATCCTGGCCTCTAAACTACAGGGCACATTTTGGACGCAGCTCTATGCTCCCTGCATCTTTTCACACCCTGGCCCAGTTCATATACATTTTGAACATTCTTACACAGATGGGATTAAATCAGTTGTGCATATGATTCAGGCCCAAATGATAACTTTTCCTAAAATTCCCTGGGAAGAGAAATATGTCACAATGACAAGCTTTCAAAGTACTCAAATATTTTCAGCTACCTGGTAAGTGCTGTTTCAGATGGCTTGTTATTTACTGTTTAATGGAATGTGTTCATGATATACGATAGTGCGTCTTCCCTGGGACCGGAAAATTCATTGTTTGCGTCTCCCCGTTGTGTGCAGTGCCCAGGGGTTCGGCTGGTTTCTGACGTGTAGGTTGTTTTTAGTTCAGACCTGCTTTTCAAATGTGCTGTCTACTTAAAGAATTTAGAATTTATTTCAAATCACTGAGTTGAATTATTTGAAGGATTCAGCAAAAGTATGTCATTTGGTTTAAAAGCCAGAGTGAAATTATCACTCTTTACAAAACCCGTTAGTAAAGAAACTGTCAGTGGTACGTATGGCTTCCAGCCCCTTCACGAGGTACCAGTTTTTGCCAGTTGCCGAGCCAGGGGATTCCTGCTAAACTAGTGGTTTTCTGTAGTGTGACAGGGTGCAGTTACTTTTTTGAGTTTTTCAATATCATCGACTCCACGGCTTTGGAAATGTGTTTGTGTTTCTAGGCCATTTGGTACAGGAGCCTTTTATGGTAAGTGACTAAAAGAAATCTCTTGGCTTGGAACATTGTTTATTGTGGTAGCTCGTAAACTTTGGGGAAGCCCCGCCGATGGCCTTGGATGTAAGTGGTAAAGTTGACCTTCTACAGTAGGTGCTTCCATGGAGTCATATACAGCCACGGCTGGAGACACAAGAGCGTGGAATTAGCAAGAAGTGCCCTTGTGGCACTTTTCTGCTTTCTTCAAATACGCCCTCCATTACTCCCCTCTTGACAAACCAAGGTGACCAAGTCACACTGAAAGCATGTCCCCTGGACCAGGCTGCATCTTTAAGGATTTGGGGGCAGCCTGAGGAGGTAGTCCCCAGCCCCCACGCCCATCTGTGACACCGAGGTGCCCTCACAGAGCTGTGAGGCTATGATCCATCCACCTGCAATTCTGCATCCCACCTGGGGCAGATGGCATCTGTCTAGGACAAAAAACGGGTACCGCCATCCAAAAGACAGGACAAGACCAAACAATCTAGTGTCTGGAGGTTTTGTAGCCGCCAGCCCTGAGCCTGTCCCCAGATCAAGCCCACACACCTAGAGAGAGTCAACTGTGACAGAGGAAAGGAAGCCCCCTGTTCATAGACAGCCGCTGCTGCCGCCTCCCAAGGTGCGAAGGCAAAGGATGGGCAGTGAGTGTGGGCAGCATGCTGCACCTGTCCTCACATGACCTGTGAGACCAGCTCTTCCACTTCCACATACATGATTTCCAGAATCCCAGACAAATTAGCTATTGAGAAAGGAAGAGCACGGCTCCTCTGAAATGCTGTAAGGTGATGCTAGGAAGTGTGTGCATCCCAATTAAGATTGCTATAAAATTACACCTTGGGGGCTTCCCTGGTGGCGCAGCGGTTGGGAGTCCGCCTGCCGATGCAGGGGACGCGGGTTCGTGCCCCGGTCCGGGAAGATCCCACATGCCGCGGAGCGGCTGGGCCCGTGAGCCATGGCCGCTGAGCCTGCGCATCCGGAGCCTGTGCTCCGCAATGGGAGAGGCCACAGCAGTGAGAGGCCCGCGTAACGAAAAAAAAAAAAAAAAAAAAAAATTACATCTTTGATGTGTCCCAAGATAACAAGAGAATGATCTACAGTCCAACGCCGGTGCCGGAGTCTGGATTTCTTCATAAGATGGGGCAGTGTGCGTCTCTTTGTGGCCTTGGACATGCATGGAAAATGAATTATTAACATCCACTTGCCTTGTAAGTGAGTCTCTGTACATAGTTCATGATTTTAGTTTCTATAGAAACCTGCGGTTTTGTAAACCGTACAGAGTCTGTGCCCTGTGTTATTAGGACATCCTACCTGGGATGGACGCCTCATTGATACCTGCCCATGAGAAGACTGTGTGCACAGTCATTTGTCATGGTATTTTAATTTGTCCTTTCAGACTGAAGCATAAATATTACCTGGCATTTATTTTCTCTCCAAAACAGGATTATGAAACATGAACCCCTGGCTTCTCCTTAGGGCCTCCGGGTGGACAAGCCTGGGTCTCTGCATGTTTGGAGCAGTAGCTGCTGTCTGATTTGAGTTCCTGCCCTGGGCAGGGACGGCCCAGGGGTCAGGTCTCTGAGATTCCCATCAACACCAGAGCTATTGCATCCCAGCCAGTGCTGTATCCATGATAAAGCAGTTCGGGGACTTCGACAAGGCCATAGGGACATCAGGCAATCAGGGAGGTGACGCGTCAGTTGAGTCTTAAATATTAAGTAGGTTTTTGACAGATTTCTCAAGGGAGCAGAGGACTCTAGGAAGTGG